CATTTTAACACCTATATTTGGGGAAGGAAATTTGTGTTAAAAACAGATCACAAACCTCTAATCTATATGCTGAATCCTAAAAATGGAGCTGTTTTGCCTCCAAGAATTCAAAGATTGAGTTGGAGATTACAACCATATGACTTTGAAATTGAATTCATTCAAGGAAAGCAAAATATTGCAGATATATTTTCAAGACAACCTCTTTCTAACACAAGTGATGAAAAATGGCTGGAGAACTATGTTCATAAAGTCTTATCCATCACTTCTGAAGAGCTTCAAGCACTGTCTTTGAAAGAGATAAAAGTTTGTACAGAGCAAGATCCTTTGTTTCAAAAACTGAAAGATAGGATTCAAAAGGGAGTTTGGCCATATCCTTTGAATGAAGAATTCAAATGTTTTTATAAGTTTAAAGATGAACTCTCAATTTTTGATAATCTTATCTTAAAAGGAAGTAGAATTTTGCTACCTTCAAAACTAATAAAGAGAGTCTTGAGAATTGCACATGAAACACATCAAGGAATGACAAGAACCAAACAACTGTTAAGAGAAAAATATTTTTGGATAAACATGGACTTTGACATTGAAAATTTGATTAGAAACTGTCCAATTTGTGTAAGGAATCAACCATTGATAAATGATCAACCATTGCAAATAGTTCCGTTACCATCAAAACCTTGGATGAAACTTGGAATTGACATAGTTGGTCCAATTGGCCATCATTATGTTTTAACAGTGATCGACTACTATTCTTCATATCCTGAAGCAATGATAATAGAAGACATTTCCAGCAAGACAATTATTAAAAAATTGATTGGAGATTTTTGTAAGACATGGTTATCCACATGAAGTTGTAACAGATAATGGCTTACAGTTTGTAAGTACATCAATGGAAAGATTTTTAAAAGAATGTGGAATCAGGCACATCAAAGCCTCACCCTATTACCCAAAAAGTAATGGGAAGATAGAAAGATTCCATAGATTTCTAAAGAAACAATTTAATTCAAGTTCTGAAGAAGGGAAAGATTGGAAAGAAGATTTATCCAGAATTTTAATGTCTTACCGAACTACTCCAAACAGATCTACAGGAAAGACTCCAGCATTCCTCTTATTTTCAAGAGAAATCAAAACTAAATTAAGCTCACTTGTTAATGATGCAGAAGATGAATCCAACATCAAAGAATTCAATATGGTCTACAAAGAAAAAATGAAAACATATAATGATATAATTCGGAAAGCTAGTCCTCATAATTTTGAAATTGGAAATTTAGTTTATGTGGCAAATCCAAATAATGGAAAACTTGATTCAAATTTCAGATCAGAACATCATGTCATTCTTGAAAACACTTCAATAAATTCTTTTAAATTAGTCAACACTAAAAATGGGAAAATAATTCATAGAAATGCTAAACATTTGAAACATGTTCCTACTCAAGAGACCAATCAAGACATTTCTGACTTGATTCCAAAAGAGAGCCAGGAAAATCTTAGTTCAGATTCAACAAGAATTGAACACCTCAACTCTTCTGATGTACAAATAACAGATGATAATTCCTCAAACCAAGACAAGGACACTTCTTTAAACCGACCAAGTTCAAGTAGAACAGGGGTCTACATTTAACCCAGTTGTTTCAGATAGACTTGATGCCGAGGCTCTTCACCAGTTGCCACCAGAGGTTTCTCCACCCTTGCCGACTACCAAGGAACCCGTGATCACCAGGAGTGGAAGAGTCGTCAAGCCATCATCAAGATATAAAGACATGATTCCTTTCATCTAAAGGAAGGAGGGAATGTAGTATTCTGTGTTTTTAATATAGAATATATAGATCATCATCATAAAAAATAATAATACGATGTATAATGTAAACAACGTGTTGATGTAAAAATATAAATATAAAGTGTAATAAACAATTTGTAATAATAAGTTCATCTGGTGAGTAATGTTTAATTAAATAATAACTATACAATAATAACTATACAACAATCTATATATATTATATAATCTAAAAATGCAAATATTTTATTTTTTGAAAACATATATTTTATTAATATTCATTGACTATTTTATATATATTTTTGGCCATAGTTTTAGAATATACCATTTTGATAATATTGTTTTAAATAAATAAATATATATATATATATATATATATATATATTTACCTATTTTTAAAAAATCATTAATATAGGATCAATTTCGTAAATTCTATAAAACTGTCAAAATATTTAATATTTATTTTTCAAGTAATTAAATATAAAAAGTACTTGATAGTAAATAATTTTTTTTATTGTATCACGACTGAACCTTTATCTTATCAATCCTTTATCTTTTCAACAACAAAACATTACATTCATAACCTATAATTTTTAAATAAAGAAGGCATATATTAGATCAAAATATCATTTATTTAACAATATTTCAGTTGGCTGAACGCCGACCTTTTTCAAGGTATTATAAAATATTAATGTGTGTAAACAACAAACTCAGCGCCACATAACGTCAATAGAATAAGTTTTAAAAATACTTTTGCTTATATTCAATGGGGATAAAAAAAGTATATTTATATTATAGACAGAATACATTTTGTAAAATAAGTGTGTGAATATTTTGAATATTAACAATAACGGCTATTTTATATTTACATTTATTAACATATATAAATATATATATGTAATATTGTTGCAAATGTCGATGTATGGATAAGCTGGCAGTCGTGTACATGAGGCGAGTGTTGATGTTCTTCCCACACGCGGACAACAAGAAGCAGAGGCAGGGCTAGATGTTAGCACATAGAGGGATCGGGGACAGCCCACGGGACAGAGGTAGAGGCCATGACACAAACTTGGATGCTTATCACCGAGACATAAAGAGAGAGACCGAGAAAGACAGAAGCCGCCTTCCGATGGCCACACCCCTAGAACATCTGCTGACCCCTTGCCAAAACCTGTCCTGTTTACAGAGGTCGTATATATATATATATATATATATATATACAACACACTAAAATAATTTCCATTTATAAATATTTTGCCATCTCTTCGGAATGCATTTAGATACACGTTTTCTTTATCGAGCGTACCCATTTTATTAATAGAATATTACAAATATATATGGTGTGAGTTACTAATCCCTATATATATAAAATTCAGTGTATGTATGTGTGTATGTTTGTCGGCTATACACTTCCACAATACGTAACTAATCTGACTGAAATTTTAACAGTATATAGAGTTGAATCTGTAAAAACTTACAGGCAAATTTTCAGGCTTCTATCTCGAATATCCTTAAATTTATTAACAAATTATTAACAATTTTCCCCATTTCACTCGCAACCAGCGCCTCACTGCGGTAACTTAGAGAAGTAAAGTTAAGGAAAGATGGACAACGTAGGGTTACAGGGATTGGTGGAGCGGGACGTTTCACAAGAATGACCTTGAGTGACTTACTGACAGCGAAGGGGCAAGAAATCACTTACTATCATTTTATGCATATGTCAAACTTAAAATATATTCATATAAAAATCAAAATAATACAATTTTCGAATATCTTTATGAAAAATTATAATTTTATATTTATATTTTAAAAACACACAAAGATTGGAGCGGGACGTTTTACAAAAGTGACATCCACGGCGCCAATTTATAATTGTGTGTGTATCGGATAGCATTTGAATGAAAATATTTAATCGAGTAAAACCCGGGCATTGCCCGGGTAATTAGGCTTGTATAAAATGATAATAAAGATAAAATTTTAATGAGATTTAAGACTGGTTGTATTTTCTCAATCCGTACGTAAACTGTGGTGGCGGCGTATTTTATCATCCATGGCTAGATTATTACGTATAAACCCATGAAAAATAATTAATAAAAAGTGAATAAGGCCTAAATAAATTGACATACGAATATTGTAAAACCCAAGTGAAATCTACTTAATGCATCAAAAATGATATAAAATCAGCATTAGCATATTTTAAAACTAATTAAATTGGGATTGTATTTCGTTTCAGGCATTGCCTTTCAAGCGACTTTTTTGTATTATAATTCTTATTAAATTTATTTGATCTAATAATATATAATTTTAACGTATTAAATTTATTTGAAAGCAGCTTTTAATTCAATTTGAGCTCAGAAAAAATTCACTCAAGCAGAACTAGTGCGTTGCTCGGTTCAATCATCTTGTTTATCATATAAACTATATAACTGAAGCAAGAAAATGATTATTCTTTGAGTTTGAAAACTTGTAAAAAATAGGAACTTACCCTCTGTTATTAATTTGTTTATTTTCATATGTCATTTTATTTTTGCATAAGCTTAACCTGGTTAGAACGATGTTGTAAATAATTTTGTTGCCTTAAATACGAGGTAATCGTTTCTCCTCTATATCTTAAAACGTTCAAAGTTTAATAAATTAATTTTTTAAATCTGAGAGTTCTCTTCAAAAACATTCAACAATAACCTAAGGTAGTATTTATCCTAATGAATTGAATCGATATGCACCAATAATATTCTATCAGATATGTTAAATTTAAGGATACCTTGAATGTAAAATAGTTAAAAGAACTGGCACAAAATAGCCTTAATAGGTCATTGGCGGCAAATAAAGGTAATTAGAACGACGTGTAACAATTTTTACCCCAAATGTTTCTTTTTAGAGAACGAAAAAATCGTAATTTTAATAATTTTGACCATTCCTATCCTTAGTATGAAAGGATGAATTGTGAAGAGTAATGATGAACGGAAAAATCCTTTCATACTTCATCCCTAAGGATAGGAATAGTCGTTTTTTTTTTTGCTTATCCCTAGTACACGTGGTACAGGCCATGATAATCATGGTGGGTAGTTAGCGACTGCTTTTACTGTAAGCGCACCACATATCTACACATGTGAAAAGCAGTTCGACTTTGCACTTACAAATGCCAGAGCCCCGTTTGGTTACTTGCACTCGCTGGTGGGGTTGGACTTTTGCAAGAATCGGGGGCCATTGGAGCATTTTGTTTTTAAACAGAAAAAAGTGCCCAATGCGGGAATCGAACCCGGGTCCTAGTGGTCGAAAACCAAACGGTTTACCCAACCTTCCACCGACCCTTCCACCCAACCCTATTCCACCGAATAGTCGTAAACTTGTTAAACGTCGTTTTACGATCAGATCCGCATTATATTGTATTATAAAAAGGCAATGAGAGTTGATCTAGTTCTTATTTCCTTTGTATAAACGTCGGTAGAGCTTGTGGCGTCACTAGAGACCATAACCTGCTAAATAGAAGAGAAACTGGAGAATAAATGAGATTTAAGCTCGATAACGTATAGAGCGACTAACGGATATGTTCATACCTAGTGTAGTTTTCGAGAACTATTAACAATAGCACTTTGTAAACTAAATAAAATAAGAAAATATTTCTTGTGGAATGGAGATAGGGTCTGGAATGGATGACTATCATTAAGTTTTATCGTCTGCTGCAATTTCCTTTATTTAATAATGCATCACGATGTCTGTGGACCCAAATGGTTTCTTCAAAATTTTACTGTACAAATTTCGAGATTTCTAAAATATTCTCTCTATGATTATATTTCATCAAACATATTTGTATGTAAATATATATATATATATATATATATATATATATATATATATATATATTTGGAGTTTCGATAGTATATATTGGTTATATAAATAAAAAGTGGAAATATATCTGTTTGTAATATGAATAGTTATTTATATTTATTGGAATAATATATAAACGACCTTTTTTAATATTCAATTTTGTTATGAGCGTTTATATATTGAACTAGAATATTATTTTCTCTGCAACTGAAATTTTCAAGAATAATATTGTAGATTATATTGAAACAGAATATTCATTATTTTATCCACGGAATATTAATTTCGATATTTTGTTCTTCGGCAAAGTCTTGCTTAAATTAATGTAAATAAATTTGGTAATTGCTTTCATTGAAATTGCTTTGTCATCTTCACTTTTGTTTTCGCTAGTTTTTCACTTGAAATTTATGTGTAGATACGGAGTATATTAGGGAAAACAAATTAAAGATCGACTTGTAGACCTTGGGACCATGGGTGTTATGAAATACCACATCCTCGACTGAATCCAGAATTCCGCCGCTGTGTCGAAGTAAAGATTCCCCTCGAAGAAGGAGACTATAAAGCAACTCTTCACGCCTCAAGAAGAAGAACGTGAAGCTACAAAGAAGAAAATTTCGAAACCTTGAAAAACATTGACCAATATACACAAAATCCATGTCAAACGGGTCTGGAGACGTCCTGTGAATCGTGTAGACCCTGGCCTTACTTTCGGAAATTCAACGGGCTTAATTAAAAGATAGACTATGAAGAGCGACTATCGTTTAAAAGCTTGCATTTTAAAATAAAAAATAAACGCATTGTGATAGAATATTTTGTAGTTCTTAAAATTTTTTTTTCACAATTTAATCTTGAACTATGAATTGTCTTCAATCTTGCCGAACTCTTCCTTGGCCAGCAAGATCCCTGATCTCTCACCTAAAGAGTACATCCTGGACGTGATTGGAAGGATATTTCCATCATCCCGGAATGTTCACTATTTAATCTGACATTTGGAGACAATTTGGCAAGAAATCTCGCAGCCCACCATCCAGCATCTTTATCAGTCCATGAGATGCCGGGAGACAATTACATCCAGGCCAGTCCAACGACATATCTCAATTTGTGTGACGATCAAACTCGGGAATAAAACAATTAATTGTTTTCACATTTTAATAGTTTTCCTTTATTCTTTTATTATTATTATTATTATTTGTTATCAAATCAGAGGCGATATCTCTAAAATGGATGCTTGCGTCAAGCAATAACACCAAAATCAGAGAATTTTCACAAAAACAATTGAAACCAAAAAAAGCAACAAAACAACCAATGAAACAAATACAAATATATACGTAGTTAGCAATTAAGGTTTTCTTTTAACCAAGAGAGAAAATCATAGAAATATTTACAAAATTACCTAAATTTTATATATGAGTCCTTACTGTTTATAAACATAAAAATATCTTTGTATTCAATGTCTTCCCGCTTTATGTAGTTTTGGAAGATCGGACATTCAATAAGCAGGAGACTGGAAAATTCTATTCTATTCAATACACCAATATTTGTCCCAATCGGACAATTATTTTGTCCAACGATTTTTTGTTATAAAGTGTAGTATGTTTCCATATCGTCAAATTGGATCATTTTTACACCGCTAAAATTAATCATTAAAAAATAAGTATATACTTTTGACGTGACAACGTCTTAAATTAGGTTGCGGCTGGGAGTCACTTATGAAAAAGTGTAACGCCCGGTAACGTTACGATGAGTCATCGAACGAGAGTGCTGCGCGCGCAGCTGCGCGCGCAGCGCTAGAGAATTAGGCGCATTGAATCGGCGCATGCTTGTCTCTGTCTTTGTCTTTCTCGAACGTTCTTGGCGTTGGAAAAACAAGAAAGCGTCATAATACAAGTTCAAACGTGTGGTTAAAGTATCGTCAGCTGTGTCTGTAGTGAAAATGTGGAGTGCTTAGATTCGTCATTTATAACAACTACAACAATAAAGGTAAATAATTGTACACTGATATTTCATTATCGTAAACTATGATTGATTGATTAATTGTTAGATTGACACAAAAGTTGAGAAACTGAGTTTATAGGTTATGTCATACTATTGATAAATGTTGATAGTGTTAAGTAAATTATTAGTTTAAAATTAATTAATTAATTAATTATTATTTTACAAATTTTAAATAGTTTCAAATTTATTTAGCAAAAATTTGAACCTTCGATTTGAATAAATGTTTTGATTTTCGAATTGATTCTTTAAAATTACAAATATTAAGAAAAAGTGGCAGATATAAGAAAACTTTATTTAAACTGTGTTGAGCAATAATTTTAACATCTAATTTAAGTAAATGTTTTAATTTTCAACTTCATCATTTACAATTACAAATTTTATTTAATTTCAAATTTATTTAGCAAAAATTTGAACCTTCGATCTGAATAAGTGTTTTGATTTTCAAATACCAACGCGGCTGGTGGAGTGGCGATCTATCGTAAATTATCATCGACATCTACGGCGGAAGTGTTCCAAGTTGCGATTACAGACGTAACTCGTGTCATTAAAACCAAGGGTGACATGTGCATGACTGAAGTTACTTGCTTCGCCGCTAATACTAGCTTCAAGTTTATACTCGGTGCTGTATATATTCATCCAGGAGCTAGTATGCAGGATATTGGAATGTTACTATGGCAAGGACTCGGTCCGTACATTCACAACAGCCAGTACGTGCCACCGTTCGTGCAAGTCGATTCTAGTATACCGATTCTTCTGTGTGGTGATTTTAACAAAAACGTAAAGCCTGACAACTCGTTTCTTAATTTCATGAAAAATACGTATAATCTTGATTGCGTATCAAACGTTTCTAAGTCAACTACGTTAAAAGGAACAACTATCGACTTGACTTTCGCAAGACACATTACAGCAGAAACACTTCCTTAAACACTCAAATAGGAATTAGTTAAGTTTAAGTTTACATGTACAATGTTTTTGTAAACAAAATATATTTCTATAGTCAAAATTTGTGCAATTCTTATTTTCATTCAATTCCTTGTTCCTATTGTGCAATTTAATTATATTCATATCAATAAATATTCTACCGTTGTCACGTAAAATCTTCGCCCGTAAAACCGACTTTACTGGCAACCATCGTTTTTCTTTTTAAATTAATAAAACTTCCCTTATATATCAAAGTTTAATTTAGAAATATATATCTTTTTGACGTGACAACGTCTTAAATTAGGTTGCGGCTGGGAGTCACTTATGAA